AACCATGTCACTCCCAGCTATATACCCGTGTCAATCCTGGCACTCCAGCGGAATGTCCCCTTGTTGGGCTCCATGGTGGGTGGGGACCACGGAGATGAATTAGAATCCCTTCCCATAGATTAAAAAACAACCATGCAGTGTAGTAAGTGACACACAGCGAAGAAGGGAAAACAATGAAAAGTGTTAACTCAATAAAACTCGCACTGGCTGTACAGAAATGAGGGACGTTCCAGACAGTCGTTCGCCAACGGCCTGGAACCATCCTTTTCGAATGTCTCTCAGACAAATAGATTGACAGAGTTTTAAAAGAGAAGGAAATAGCCGGCCTACGGCTTTAAGTGTCAACCCAACCTACATTAAACCTACTTAAGGGTGTAGTTAATTATGATGATTTCACTACCGAAACCAATGAAGACCTGAAAACCTTATTGCCTGAGGGAGTTACAGACATACACAGAATTCAGCGGTGGGTGAACTGATCCCCACCTCAACGTTGATTCTCACATTCGACCGCCCCATTCTTCCGGAGAAGATCTCATGCGGGTGGTATAATCTGCATGTGCGTCAAACCCCCTGCGTTTCTCTCAAGTCTCGGGCATACCCAGAAACGCTGCATGAACAGCGCTGTCTTTGCGGACCGCGTCAAAGAGTGCCACAACTCTGAATGCAAATCCGACCTCACATGTGTAAACTGCACAGGAGACCACCCATCAAACTCTTTCAAAAAATACATTTGTTAAATTAAAAAAAACAACAGAAATGAACTTTTCGTCATATTAAAGTGTGCAATTAGCACTATCATTTCAAAAACGTTAAAGAAAAAAATTGGAAACGTTTTGACGAGATGGCATTTGAGCGTTTCGGAAAATGCGGAATTTTGAGCTGGTTTTCACAGAAAACGGTTGAGTTTTCTAGAAGCTTTATATGACATTGTTTTAATAACATGTTCTCATAAATATAATAATGTGAAGAAATTGCCGCTAATGTAAATATTAACGTGAGAGACAGCTCCAAAACATATTTTATTTTAGAAAAAACACAAGAATAGAACAATATGGCGTTAATGTCATCCTTATATAGTGTATTTAGCCTAATTCCTACCAAAAGTTTAAAGATAAAATTTACAGCCGTTTTTAGGAAAATCTTATTTTTGTATTTTTTTTAATTGCACATATTGCATGCAATATTGCGCGAAGACAACTACAATTTTCAAACAAATTTACATGATCTTCGAAAGAACTCACTACGAAGAACAAATTTTATTTGAAGGAAAAAATATCTATCTTTAATTTTGTAGTTGTAGGGAGACACCGAAAAAAATTCACACCTTTGAAATTTCGAAAATTCAGAATTAACCGTGAAAATTTGACCTAAGGCTACGTTTATAAGGGTATATTACTCTATTCTTACGATGAGACGAAATTAAAGAAAAAGTTGGAGCCGTTTTTGAGAAAATGTTGAAAATGTCCAGAGGGCTTCATTTAATTTTCCCAAATTTTGAAGAATATTTTTCAAAATCTTAAGGTTTCGACTCCAGCCAGATGGATATGAGTTTCTTCAATTTCGAAAAATCCTACGCATGGTTTAGGCGCAACTAGTGTTCACAGACACCAGGACAGACGGTTGTTTTGAAAACAAACATTTCTTCGGTATTTGGGGACCACCAAACTTGTATTTCCGTTGAATATCGAAATCAATTTTCCGCAGCATTGTATAACTTTTCTTACACTAGATACATTACCTCATTTATACGTACGTATACCGGAAACAAACAACTATAAATGTCTCAGCAAACACTCGTGGCTCAGTGTTGGTCGCTTGCCTTTCACCACCAGAGGTTCCGGGTTCGATTCCCGTAGAACATCATGTGAAATTTGTTATGACAAATTTGAATGTTTCACAGGACCTAGTCCAACCCCTGTGAAGCGTCCTAAGCTTTACTCTTATCCTTACTCCTCAATTCTGGCCGATGAGTAAGATGACTCAGGGTGCGTGCGAGCGCGAAGACTACCTATTGGCGATTCCCTGACTTGACTGCCACTGACCGAACTTGACTACCCAGCGGCCTATAGTGATTAATAACGGAGAATTACTCCACGGTGCGCTCAAAACTCCTTAAGGAGTTAGAGACGCGTTGACGTAGACACAAATAAATAAAGGAAAAAAATCCCAAAGGCATCAACCCAAGAAACAGGCCGAAAGGACCTATTTCTACATCCCAGTCACCTGTACCAAAAGAACGTGAAAGTACCTAGACACACCGGCTCTTTCGAGCCGCAGTCATGACGAGAGGACGAAAAGAAAAAGAAACCAAACACTCTATCCCTGCAGAAGAAAGATTTTTAAAAACAATCTTTAATACCTAAAACCATGGCCCTCTCGTGGAATCTCAGTGGCTTCCGTACTAGGTTAGACAAATTGAATCTCATAATTTCTGGACATAGACCTGTTATCTGTCTTCAGGAAACATCTTCCCGAGCATCCCCTCTTCGCGGCTTTCGTACTTACAGACAAAATGATGACCTTCATGCCAATGGTAGAGGCACTACACTTGTTAGGGACTCCCCTAGTGTCCAAAGAAGTAGACGTGCGAACCAGTCTTCAGACAAATTGCGAGCGTATAAATTTCCATATTATCTCAATAACCGTTTACAACGTCTATATCTCGCTTGGACAAGCCGTATCGCAAGATGACCTTGCGATTCTCATTTTCCAATTGACCCCACTTTTCCTCATTCTTGGATACTTCAATGCTCATAGTCCCGTCTGGGGTGCAGCAAGGTCTTGCCAGAGAGGTATCCTTCTGGAAAATATCGTAGACAGATTTAATTTGGTTATTGGTCGATAAGGCATCGCTTTTTGTTGATGATTTTGCCATTTCCTGCTCATCCAAGAGCATGAATGTCTTCCAACGACAATTACAACTCGTCCTGAATATACTTAATGAATAGAGCGCAAAAACGAGATTTAAGTTTTCCACTTCAAAATCAAGTGCACTCACTTCTGGAGGATTCATCATCTCCACAATCACCCAGATCTGTTCATTAGTAACCACAAACTCCCGCAGTTGTTGACGCAGCTTCCTCTCTTGGTCTAAAATGGCGAAAAAAACTGGTTTAACAAAAGCCTGACATGGCGAAAACATGTCTGCAACTTGCAGACATGTTTCTGTATCGCCATTAAACCTACTTCGCAATCTTAGCAGTACCTCACGGGGCGCCGATCGTACATGGTTCTTACGGTTATATTCGAAACTTATCAGATCTGTTTTGGACTATGGCAGCATTGTATACGGCTCCGCATCACCTTCAACTTCACGACCTCTCAATACTATTCACCGTGCTGGAATCCGCATCAGCGCAGGTGCCTATCGCACGAGCCGAATCGAGTATCTCTTAGCTGAAGCTGTAGAACCGTCTCTTAGCCGAAGATCTGTTCGTACGGTGCGAAAGTGCCAGAGCTGGATGGTCCATTTCAGCGAGCATTCATGTACCCAGGTTTCCAAACATCATACTTACTGAGACAATCTTTACCTAATCCACCTTTTACACTTTGTTGCGGAAGCTTACCCTGAAACTTCCTGCCCCTGTGAAACCTTCGAAAAATCTGGTCCCTCCTTAGACACTTCTCCGACCCCTAATAGATTTTAGCTTATCGAACATCCCTACAACATCAACGTCGCCCGTAGTATATCTAAAGACTTTCAATAATTTGGGATCTTATCCACACCATACTTTCTTGTATACTGACAGCTCTGCCACAAATGACTCTGTGGCATGTGCGTTTTACTGTAGAACAGTTACGCGGTTATTCAAAATTCACCCGTACTGTAGCGTTTTCTCTGAGAAATTCGCTGTTCTGCAATCCTTGAAATACGTAGAATCAGGTGCCTCACGACGAGTAGTTATGTGCAGTGATTCCCGAAGTTCAGTCCAATCACTTTTGACTCTTTCTCTCTCGGATCACTTGACTACGACAATGCAACATCGATTCCATCGTCTATTATCTTGCCACTATGTCCTAGCAGTATGTTAAGTACCGGGTCATGTGGTAATCGTAGCAATGAGGTAACCGAAAAAAAGGCCACTCGGAAGTCATCTATTGACATTACCTATGTCCCTTCAGCAAACTAAAGCTTATTTAAAACGCTCAATACTTAGTGCATGGCAAGCTGAGTGGCATAACTCAAATTTTAAACTCACGAGAATCAAGAACACCATAAATCCTTGGTCTTCCTCATCTCGTGGATCTAGGCGCGAGGAGATAATTCTGCCACCCGTTCGGATCGGTCACTGCCCCTGCGGTCATTTCTCC